CAGCAGCGCCCAGCGCGCTCGCCCTAGGAAGGCTCACCTGGCTGGGTTCCTTTGCCCTCGCACGGCTCCTAGACCAACGCCAGGGGGCGCTGCAGTACTCCGCACTTCTCTCGCGGTGACGCAGCTGCGCGCTGCCGCCACCAGAGGGCATCCGCGGGCAGGGCCCGACGCTGCCCATCGCGAGTGGACTCTCCCGCCAATAAGTGACGTGGAGGTACAGATACGTCGGCTTTGACTTCAGAATACTTCGTTCTTAGCGCCCTACGTGCTGGCTTCCAGACCATGAAAGGCGGGGGGAGGGCAGATGTGAGGTCCGATACAGGCACGAAAGCAGAGAGGGTAGATTCAAAATAGCATTGTTCTGTATGAGCCTTTACCCAACAGGTGGAATATAGTGAGAGGGGGGACAAGTTCGAGCATGTGGACGATTAAAGAAGCAGAATGCTATTTGAGACAGTGAGAAAAGTGCTTGCCCACAATGGGCCTGTTCAGGGATTCAGTAAGAGAAGCACAGAGTTTTCCTTTGGTAAAGAAAGGAACCAGCTCTATTCAGATTTGAGAGTGACGGCTTCTTCCCGGGGACTGATAGCAAAGTAAAGGAGAGCCCCTGGCCTGGGGGCTTCTGTCCTTGCCCACTCTGCTCTTCGTTGTCCATTTAGTACAGGAAGGAAAGGTATTTTGAAAGGCATTTCTTCATGTCTGACCCTTGCATGGGCTTGTTGGCAGAGTAGAAATTAATCACTTTCTCTCACAGATGGAGTTAAGTCAGAAGGGCCAAGGTTACGTGGCTCAGTGAGGGGTCAGAACAGGACCTTCACTCCAGGTCTTATGACTGGTCGGAGGGAGAGGTGTCGATATATACCCATTTGAGCTTTTGGAATCTTGTACTATGCAATTTTATTACCTATGTAAAAAAAAAAAAATGGAGTGCCATTCCTTTTAAAAATGTCTCTCCCTTTGTGCTTCATTTGCTGGTGGTGTTACTGCTCATTCAGCTTTAGTTTCAGAGCTTGTAAGCCAAAGTCTCCTCAATAATTTATCAAGGCAGTGAGCCTCTGTTGTGTGTCCGACACTGTGCAGCCGTCAAGCCAAGTACCGACCTCTCATCTTCAAAGCACAATACACTTTTGAAACCTGGTCTTCCATATTGGTACCGTGAGGCGCGTGGTCACTTCAACAAAGGGTTCCGAAGAATATCTTTAGAGGGATGTACAAAGATCATCCTAGTATGCTAGTAGTGAGGTAGGGCCCGCAGACCTAGGGTGAGGCACCTCTTCTTTCTCCGTGGCGACATCTTCCCACTAGGCTTGTCTCTCAGAGGTTTCATGAGTTTAATGTAGAGCCCGAGATAGATCAGGACCACGTGGAAACCACACTCTTCTCCCTTTTCCACTCTGACGAGTTGTCAATCAAGCGTAACCAAAGAAAGCTCCCTTCTTGGTTGCCCCCCCCTTTTCTGTCCCAGTCTGGTGACGGTGTCTTTCAGGGTACTGTTTTTTAATACCTCAGTCTGACATCAGTGGTGTTCACTAGGTCACCACGACACTCCTGATTTGAACAAGCGTCACTGAGATCCAGAGTTCTCCCCTTGCCTGCTCTGCCTTGGCTCAGAAACGCTTACCTGAGCCAAGTACCTTCCCCTATCTAGACTGCATCTTCCTAAACTGGCCTGGCTTTGCTATTAATTTTAACTAGCTTGACTCTCCCTGCCCC